TTTTGGATTTCTTGACCTTATTGTCCGGAGTTTATTTTTAATCTCTACCTTATGCTTGATGACACAACGATTAAGTGTTTTTTTATACAATCGTTCCTTTACATACATTTCCTCTTTGAGGTAAGCATTACCAAACCGTTTGTATAATCGTTTGGCTTTTCTATAATTTTGGCGCGCAGACTTACAGTCTTTCGTAAACCAAGGTTTTTTAAATTTAAAAACATGTTTATTTACAGAATTTGGCTTAGAGTGGTTAGTTCCAAATGCATATTTGGCACCATTTATAAATAGTTCACATAGATCATTAATGATAGAGTTGATAAAATTACCACTATCGTCAACATTTGTGTGATTACGTAATTCTTCAACAAGGTTATGGAATCTACAAAAACAAATTTAAAGTCATCATTCCACTTTCTGGGTTTACTTGTACNGGGAGAAATCATTGATAGAAAATTCGTCCACAATACCAAGTGTGGCGATGTTACCTATACAGTAATCAATTACACTTATATTTTTACATGTAAGTTTACCGATATTTTTATCCTTACCCATGCGGCCATTGAGTATAAATATATTACAGTGCTTACACAGGTCAAGTAAACGCTTGCCATAGTCGTTATTTACAGTGTCCTTAGAGGACCTTTGTCTAGGAACATTGATATCAGTTAGGTTGTTTACATCGGAAAAATAATCATAATCATCAACTTCAGCTTCAAAGAAATCAGGGAGATCTGTAGTTCTACCGTTAAAGTCACCAAGTAAGCAAATATATTTGTTATCCTGTGTTTGGAAAGATAATAGATCATTTTCCACGTCTTCAAAAAGATAGATATACCTGTATCTTCACCTGTGGTTTGAAGTACACTTGGTCACCAGGAGTGATTTATTATACCAATTAAAAATATAGATTTCAAACATTTCAAAGACAATGAAGCACCCTCCTTGCGATCACTTTATCAGGTGAGTAATAACCAATGTTGGCATCAAAGCCTGGTGTGTTCATCCTTTTCATCAGGTGTTGCCCTTGTACGCACGTATGCATACTATTTCACAATAAAAGACAAACAGTTAAATGATAATTCATATTTATGACAAAATAAATAAATATTTAATTGCCAAATACTGGCCTTAACCACACGTACATGTATTTTCATTCGCATTATCAATATCAGGTGAATTGACAGAACACCTTAGTTTAGGTCTAAATGTAACAAATTCTCAGGTCCCTGTGCCTCCGAGCTCTAGACGGACCTGGACGCCGACGATAGAACGCGACGATAGACCGGAGACATATAAAGCCAGTAGTATATACGTTTCTGGATAGACCTAGTCAAGTTTTGCTCCATAAGCTGGCCCAAAAATCAAAAAAAAAGTTTAAACATCAAAAACGGTATTCAGCCCACAAAGCCTATCATCCAAATCACTGACAAAATGTATTTTGTTTTATTAACTTATCACATGTATAAGAAATTGAACTTGAGCATCAACTTTGAGTTTGAGCATGAGAACGGTTTCAGGAATACGGGCTAAATGTTCTCCAAACTTGTATTTAACATGTTATTTTTTTATGACATGTTTGAATTGCAAGTAAGTATTAAGTATACTACATGTAGTAAGTAACGTGACACATAGAACACGTGACCCTCCGAGCTCTAGACGGACCTGGACGCCGACGATAGACCTAGTCAAGTTTTGCTCTATAAGTATGCCCAAATAACAAAATGCCAAATTGATAAAGATAAATTTGAATTTCTTAAGGATTGTTAGCTTGAAGATGTTCACACAAGCTTTAGTGTTTTTTGATCAAATAATCCTATAACACAGCCTGCTTGCCTTTGTTTTCACACGGATCATACGCAGATAAGAAAGATAAAAAAATAGTTTTGAAACATGTGCATCTTTAAATTCAAACCGAATGTGAACGACTCATTGCCATCGTTATGAACAATATCATTTAATTGATGACCAGAAAATTGAAACAGACATGCGCCTGTTTGTTTTTGCGTAACAGCCGGTTTGTCTGTGTTTAAATGTAACATCGCCGACGATAGACCTAGTCAAGTTTTGCTCTATACGTCATGTGACATGTGAAAGGTGATCAAAATATAATGTGTAGGAATGATGAGATATAGAGTATGGATGACATGCGGTAATGAATGATGCTGATGAGGATGTGATGAAATCATGCCCTGTATATTTTTTTTGTTCTTGTTTTCTTGATTATAACAGTGAGGATGATGATCACATATACATGATGCGAGTATTTATGGTAATGGCCAGTGTTGATTTGTATTATTTTCTCTGTATGATTATGACGATACAATGACATTATGATGAATCGAAAATGAAAGGCAGTATATTGAATGATATTACTGTTATATTATTGTGAGATGTGTTGGTAATGAGGCTATTGTTTATGATGGATGATGCTTGACGAATGATGATTATGATATCTGCTAATTTGATGAAGATGTATATTGCGCATAACCTTGTTTTGCTCTATAAGTATGTCCAAATAACAAAACGCCAAATTGATAAAGATAACTTTGAATTTCTAAAGGATTGTTAGCTTGAAGATGTTCACACAAGCTTAAGTGTTTTTTGATCAAATAATCCTATAACACAGCCTGCTTGCCTTTGTTTTCACACGGATCATACGTAGATAAGAAAGATAAAAAATAGTTTTGAAACATGTGCATCTTTAAATTCGAACCGATAAGTGAACGACTCATTGCCATCGTTATGAACAATATCATTTGATTGATGACCAGAAAATTGAAACAGACATGCGCCTGTTTGTTTTTGCGTAACAGCCGGTTTGTCTGTGTTTAAATGTGACATTTTCGGGTATAAATCATGCCGGGCCAGCAAATGTTTATGCAGGCCTTGCAAGGCGTTGTCAAGGCGTTGTCAAGGCTCGCCTGAAAGCAGCATCAGATTACTAGGACCGACCTTATTTCATTAAAGAATACCTCTAGCCCTACCGGTTCATCCGTTTGGATTGCAATAATAGTCACGAAAGCGACAAAGGTGATTTAAAGCGTTTGATACAGTTCCACATAGAAAGTTATTATATAAACTACGTGATTATTAGATATCCTGTAACACATAAACATGGATAAGATCATTCCCGGCACAGAGAAGACAGCGAATTGTAGTTCATCAATATGTACAGTTGGTTCCGGAGTACCCCAGGGAACAGTACTAGGACCGCTGTTATTCAATTACCACATAAAATAATGGTCTTCAACAGTGTGTATCAACCCAAGTACGTCTCTTCGCAGACGATTGTATACTTTATAGAAGGATCTAAGGCATTGGAGACCAAGTCCAGTTATGGCAGTTTTGAAAATACAATGTAAAGTTGTTGGAGTTAACAATTTTTAATCAATATTTCATCATACGATATTATCTTATATGTATAATAGAAAATCTTCCTGGTTCAAAATAGACCATTCCATTGCATGTTGACTTTTTGACATGAAGTATATACTTTTACAGAACTCGAGAGTACTTTTTCAATGTCTAACCCTTTACTGGCACCCCAGACTTTCGCTGCACAGCGTACAATATTGTTGACATATGTGTCGAATAAATTTAAAAGGGTGGCACAAATCAGCTGCATATACTTGCATTTAGAATACAGAGCAAACACTGCCTTTCGACCTTGGTCGGATAACTGCTTTATCAAAAAACAACTCCAAAACATGTGAATTGGTCTACTACTTACAACTTCTGATCATTATAGAACCATACGTTATATCTTTACGTATTCTACCATTAGCAGCACATATAGAGACCAATTCAAGTGGATGTTGCGCATGTGAACCAAGAACAAAAGACGAGTAAAGCCAGAGATTAGCAAAGTTATACGTCTCTGTGCGAACTCGATCACAGTCTCTGGTTTACCAGTAGTAGCCTACATATACAGATTAACTCATTCACCCCTGAAATGTCATAATTAACTATTCCAACATTTTATTTAGAAGATTTCAATTGTGTCTTCAGGGATGAATGAGTTAAACAGATCACATGTTTGAGGACATCCCCCGCAGGCGGACCCCCGCAGGGTACCTTGATGGGTGTTATTTCGAGGCACACCCTGCCCTGTAGGGTATTTGGAGAGATGTGAACTGTGGCTATCTCAGTGCATAGTTAGCCGAAAACTGTCCGCAATATAATTTTGATTAAGAAATAATTAAGTAATAATATACAACATTTGATTTAGCGCCCCATCTTGCTAGAATAAGCCACTCTAAAGCGCCGTACAGTACATAGATAATTTATACAACCAATACAATTAGCATATACATTAATCAATACAATTTTAGAGGAATTCGCCGAAGCTGTCTTATCAGGCGCTTACTACTAGTCCTATGTCACCTGGCTAATATCTCCATGTGTGTGTATGCCTGCGTGTGTGCTGGAGATGTATTGTGTTCTGTTTGTAGTGGGACCGTGCTTCCAACGGAATACTTTATAGTGCCACCTCACTTGAATGCAACAACACAGATACCGCAATATCCACGCAAGACCATTTTATACTCTCCCTGGGTTGTTGGAGTTGTGTGGACGGGAAAAAACAATTTCTCTGAATATTCCAACCCCAACCGCCTGCGTGGAAGGCAGGAGGGTGAACCACTCGACCAATCCGCCAGTTGCCAAACATTTCGGAGCGGGTCCAGGGGAGGACCCTGGCAAAGGGACTAGAAGCCCGTCCCCTCCCTGGGAAATAATACTTAACAAATTCAGGATCTATCTATCGTGAAATTTTCCAGAGGGTAAATCACACAAAGTTAAGACATTCTAAAATAAAATCGTGTATTTGATTGTATTTTACATTCAGTATGCCATTAGCAGTAAAAAAAATTTAATTTGGTAGATACATATGCGTAGCAGCGTATGAGTATTTTAAACAAATGTATTAAATCCGGGCAATTCGTGAGCACTTTAGGTATGATGATGTAAATCCTGACATAACCCTACCCAATCTTTCTCGACTTCCGGGTTGGATTGTAATGGCGACTTCCATTCGTTTTGCAGACACGTGTGTAATCTGAGAGTGACTTAATCTGCGATATGTGCTGTACTAGTCGTCATTATAGTGTAATACCATATACAGGAATAAACAATGGGGAAAAGCAAAGCAAAGAAGTTCAAAGCAAACAAACCACAGCCTACTGGTTTACCGAGTGTTAAAGATTGTGAAGCTGCTCTTGATTTGGAAACTGTCAAATCCATCGCGTCGAATTCTACAATCCAGAATCTTATTGAGAAAGTGTGTACTAATATTTCGTAATCGTGATATCCATAATTGTTCTAACATCCATAACTGTTGTATTATTTGAGTAGAATCCACTTCAATAAATATACCATATTGGCAATATCAGACAGATATGTCACTACTGTAACAGCTAAGTAATAATAACGTAATATGAGGGAAAAAATACTGCCTAACTGGCAAGCTAGTTTTTCCAGTGATGTAGTATAACCCGGGCCCCGCTGACTAGTTCAGCAACGTCAAGCGTGGTCAGTAGTTGTATGGGTGACCAGCCGCACGTTACATTTGCAGGTCGGGGAAAAACACTAACTTGCATATCATACGCAAACTCTCCTATTATACGCCAATAGGGGTATGGATTTGTTACTAAAAATAGTCAAAATCACTTAAATCTTAACTTTTTCAAATTGTTTGTCCAAGTCGCATTTATTCTTTCATGAAACATAATACAAATGCAAAAATAAACTTTATTTGCATGTGGGAAAGTACCAAAAATAGATGCAATACTTCCGGTAAAGTTACATCAAGTTTCTAATCACGTTTCAGTCAACATCTTTTAGCAAAATATTATTTACCTTGTCGTAAATCAATGCGATTTTCAATAATATCTTGCAAAAGTTAATTTTAAAGCAGTTTGGGTTATTTTTATAACAAATCCATACTCCAACTTGCGTATAATAGGCTAGTTTGCGTATATACGCAAGTTGGTGTTTTTCCCTAACCTGATTTGGTCACAGCAATAGTGACTAGATCTGTGTGATCATATAAGGCCAGTTCCCAGTGGTTTGGGAAGGTGCTTTGATACACAGTGAGGACCTACGGGAGGCCCCAGGCCAAGTCTCGGGACAAGAGTTCCCGGAGGGGGAGTAGTGTAACAGCTAAGGAATACAAGGGGAAAATACTGCCAAACTAGCTATAGCAAGCTAGCTTTTCCAGTGATGCTGTATTACCCTGGGACCTGCTCACTAGTTCAGCAACGTCAAGCGTGGTCGGTAGTTGGATGGGTGACTGCCCGCATCTTACACAGTCTCTTTTGATGGCGTGAGAGATGTTTGTTCCCAGTTACCCTACCTACCCTAAACTTTTCAAGGAATCACTCCTAAGTCAAGATTGCTCTTCTATATAAAAACAACATAAATCTTTCAAAAATTAAAAAAACCCAGACATGTACCAGGAAACAAACATGTTTGTTTTTGTTTTGTCTTATAGTGAAACATTACTTCAATGATTAATGAGTTTATGTTATTTTAACAGCTAACCAGTACTAATGAGGACGAGAGAGAGTGTGGCTGTACTGGTATTGCCGGCCTGGTCTCCCAACCTCAGGCCATTACCTGTCTGCTACAACACAATGTTGTCCGTATCCTTGCTCCCCTCATCCTAGATCCCAGTATACAGGTCAGGCACCGTGCACTGGGGGCACTCAGGTAAGAATGTACGGGAACCCACTGTTAGGTTGTAAAAAATAAAATGTACTATATACATGTATCAATATCAAAACAGCAAAAAAAATCTAGAAGTGTTAAAAATAGACATAAACAGCATAGTTTTCGTTTATGTTGTTAGAAGTCTAAAATAACTGTGTACCTATAACATTGCTTAGAAGATTTGAATGAATTTATTAAAGAAATTGATAACTAACAAAATAATTAGGTATACCCGATGCCATGCATCTACACTATACCAATTTGGCTACAAAGTATCCAGGATTTGTAACGTAAATGCACACTATCAAAATGAAAGAGGATAGTTGGCATTGTGATGTCAGAAATAAAGTTCCCGTGTATTAATTGCTTAGTCTATTATAAAAAGGAAAATACTCCCAAGTTGAAAAAAAAATTAAAACAGCTTCAATGTGATAAAAATCATCGGTTACATGGCTTTGTTAACTTCATACTACACCTGGTTTAGGCATAATGGGAAGTTAACGAAGCCATGTAACAGATGATTTTAATCAGATTAAGAAGTCTTGTGCAGTGGTAATCTTTACCTTAAGTTCTGTATTAATATAAGTTCAGAGTCTACATCTCTGTTTCCTCCTATCAGAATTATTTGTCTCTCATAAATTGTGTTGTTTTTTTGTGCCCAGAAACCTTAGTGTTGATGGTGGCCTGGATGTGTGTGAAGAGATGGTACACAAAGATGTCCTCACCCCACTGGTAGCTTTCTTCAAGCATGTGAGTACTGTTGAACCTTGTTAATCCAGACTGTTGTATTGTTTCTTAGAAACAAAATGCCCAGATAATTATAAGAATACAATTGTATTTGCAGATACGTTAACATGACATTCCCATATCAATCATAACTAAATGTCTTTTCTTAAATATCTTTTTAATAATAATAATAATTTGAGGTTCTTATATACCACTTTATCACAACCTAGTTCGTAGGACGTCTCAAAACGGTTCACAAATTCTTATCCGTGGTTATAGGGCCTTTGCAACCAGCCAATATCTTTCTCAACTCCCTGCGGTGCTGCCATTTCGGCGCTCACAGCTAGCATTCAACAATTCTAGCACTGCCCAGCCACGTACACATTTACAGCTGAGTAGACTGGAACAAGCGCAGTAAAGTATCTTGCTCAAAGATACAACACAGTGCCGTGCCGTGACTCGAACCCGCAACCCTTCGATCACGAGCCCTGCGTCCTACCACTAGACTACCGTGCCTCCACTTGACTGTACAATTTACCCCTGTTCGAAATAGGACACATGTGGTCATTAGGCCGAATAAAAAAATCTTGTGATTCTGCTATCCCTACCTACCCTAATGGTTGTATTGGTATTTAGTGATATGCACTGTTGAAGACAGAACTCCTGCTCGGTTTAAGCATATTATAGGTAAAAATATTTTCCAAACTAAAAACAGTTGCCTGCCTATCTGCCCTATTTTTTCTGAGGATGATAGCGGAAACACTAGTACACTGTTGATTGTTTTTGGCCTCAACAAAAGAGTGAGGAAATATTAAGAAATGTTAATGTTTGCAGTACCCTGTTGGCTGGGTGCCGGAGAAACCAGGAAAGAAACAGAAGGACTTCAACACCGAAGCCTTCCTAGAAGGGACACACCTCCTGTGGAATCTCTGGTACGTCATAAACTAACGTTCACATCACATTTTACCTTTAAAAATTGTATATAGTATGTTAATTAAATCTCTTTGAAATCTTCATCCTTTGGTTGTCATCACAATCTCGACTGTGTGTACAAATAACCTTGAGATGCAATTGGAAATCTTTCACATATTTTGGCCACATAAAAATATATAAATATGACGACACCTTTTTAATCATTTATACCTGCCTATCAGGTAAACTGTGAAATGGATTACAGCTCTATAAGAGCTGAGTAATTTTCTGCTAAGAAAATATCTATTAAACTGTTTTCATCTTGAAAACTAAAAATTTGACATAGTTGTCTTCCCAAGTTAATGTCAGGTTTCATTGACTTGCCAATTGGTCTTGAAATAAACTGACAAGTGTGATTTGTAACATTCTAAAGATAAACTTAAGTATTTTAAGATATTTTGGTGCCAAACTTAACAATTTACCAACACCTGCATATCACTTACCTTTGATTGTTTTGTATAAATTAGAGAATTGTTTCACCGTTTCAGTGAGGCCACTGAAACAGCTGTAGAGGTGTTCAACAAAGAAGGACTGGTGGCCATTTTGTTACCATGTCTACAGTATGCTGTGTATGGTATCCCTTTGTCTATTGCCGTAGGTATGTATATTGCACGCAGACAAACGTAGACCCTTTAAATGTCCCTTTAAATACAAGCATTTACAGTGAAAATAAAGTTGATATTTTTTATTGTGATAAATGGCAATTTTGTTAGCTCAACGGACTTGGCCCATCGGGCCAAGTAGGCTTATGTTGTGGTGCGTCATCCGGCGTCCGTCCGGGTGAACATTGTACTAGTGTTTCTCTAATAGGGTGGTGATTTTTGCTCAGTAGCATGTTGGAATGAAGGGCTACCAACTTTGTTCATATGAATGACCTTTACCATTTTTAAGGTCACAGGGGACAAATATTTTAAAATCTTTTAAAAACTTCTTCTGAATAACCAGATGGCTAAGGATGATGATATTTGGCCGGTAAAATGCTGGCATGAAGGATTACCAAGTTTGTTCAAATGAATTACCTTGACTTATATGGAAGGTCACATGGGTCAATATGCAAGGTCACATGGGTCAAATATGTTTAAAATATTTAAATGACTTCTTCTGAATAACCATAATGATCTAGAATTTTTGTATACTTTGCAATACAGCATTCTTTTTCTCAGAATTTTTCGGCCGGAGTTGTCTTCTCTATTTACTTAAGGAAACAGCTTTGTTAATAAATACATAATATATGTTCTGGTTTATTAATGAATAACAGTTACTGTGAAATCGGATATTTTCGTGGGGTCCAAATTTCATGGTTTCTTGAAAAAACACCATTCCGTGGATTACCAGTACCCATTCATAGGAAGAATAGATTTGTGTCAAACATGTCAATACTTTCTGAACCTATGAATTCGTGGATAAAGAGTATGACGAAATCAACAATATTAAAGTACCCAGGAAAATTAAAGATTTCACTGTATATTTCAATTGTGGAGTAAACAGTTTGATATTTTCCACTTGTACCACAGCCTCACGACAAATATCAAAGTATTCACCTTACTTGTGAAATAACTGTCATCCATCATCAGGAAATCAAGAATCTCCTCAACATTACTTGAGAGAAAATTGAAAGAGCGGATCAGCGAATATATTCAGCATTTAGGATATTTGTTTACCTTCACTCACGCGTCCATAAAACTACAATGTTTATATATATGTTGTACATGTATCTGTTACTGTAGGGCAGTGTCTCCACACTGTGTCTGAAGACAATCCCGGTTTCGCTCAGGCGTGTGATGGGGGACAGGCAACACCCCAACAGCTGCTCAACCTGATGGGTGAAGCCCCGGAGTCAGCCGGGCACATCTTACTCAAAACACTGGCCACAGGTACAGACGCTTTTCTAGCTTTAGATCAATCTGTATTCATTTCTCTGTTCTTGTACTAGAATACTGAACTAGAAGTAAGCATGTTTACGTTGCTGGTTTTAGCATCGCTGTTCTTAGCAGTGAAATCTCACAAATATCCAAAAGTTTTCGTTTAATTTTAAACAATGGGTTTCCATGTTTGATAAAATTGAAAATGGGATTTTTGGTAAAAATGATACCAGTTTCTACATTTTTTTCATGTCAAATTTGCAAGCCTGTGAAAATCTAAAAAGATAAATACAGGTATATTATTGTTGGTTTACTGTAAAATGGAAATTATTTTATATAGATAGAATATATTTCAGAACCGTTGCCAGTGTGAACGTTTCCACAAGTGAGAATTCTATTTTTACAGTATTTGACGGGGGGAAAAAAATAATATATATCAAAATGGTTGTTTAGTTCAGTTAGGAAATTATCACTTTTTCAATATAAATTTTCTGGAAATTAACATTTTACAAAAATTGATGTTTGGAAACATTTGTAAAATTCCAGGCATATTGGTGAACATTAAAAGTGCCGAGCTTACCACCGCACCAGGCAACCTTGTGGCCCACATACTGACCTCAGTATCACAGGTGTTAGATGTTAATGCATTAGACAACTTCACAGCCACTCTAGACATACGGAAAGAGGTAAGTCTCTCACACAATGATTTGCATCCATCCTATGAAAACAAGTCCCTCCCACAAAGATTTAAGTCTCTCCAACAACGCGGTTAACCCAACCCACAAAAAGGCAAGTCCCACCAATGAAGAGCTTAGCCCCCTCCAATAGAGGGATAAGTCTCGATCACAAAATGGTGAGTCCTTCCAACAAAAAGTGAAGTCCCTCCCATGAATTGGTAAGCCCCTTCCACAAAATGGTATGTCTTTCCCCCAAAGAGGTAAGTTCCACCAATGAAGAGACAAGTCCCTCCGACAAAGAGATAAGGCCCTGCCAGAAAGATTGGCATCCCTCTGAAGCTCCCATCAAGAAAAGTCCCTCCATCAAAGAAGTGAGTCACTCCCAAAAAGCGATCCATCTTACCACATAAGGAGGTGACACCCCACTTCATCATCCCATAAATAAGAATATACTTTCATGAGATACAAATTTCCCCCACAAGGAGATAAAACTGTTCTAAAGAACTAATTTTACAATATGACAGGGGTATTCACATTTGAATAAGAAAAGATCAGTACTTTATAATACAGGAAACATTCATAGCTATTTTGAAAAATCAATTAGAATGTTGAACACATTATGCTCTGATATATATATATGTGTATTGAAAATGGAAGAATGTGAAACTGATTTTAGTTTGCACATTAACATTTTATTTCAATTTTCGATCTTCATTGACACTAGGTGAAAGTTGTTTGTTAGGTTGTCTGTCTGACTGTCTGCTGTCTGTCTTGCAGATGACACCTAGTGAGGATGAACAGAAGGACACAAATTTAACAGTAAGTCTATACCGTAGAGCTGGATATTTCCACGGGATGATATTTTGCGATTTCACGGGTCAATAACGTGATCAATGATCTGCAGAATAACATGACAAGCGTAAATATGAGCCATGATAATAAACTTCATAACGGTAATGTCGTCCTGAAATAGCGAGCATGTGGTTATGACGATTCATAAACACCAAGAGTAAAACAATAAGATGTTTGGAAATAGATTATGCCACACATTTAATAGTTTTGTTGATGATTTGTTTAACAAAATACACTTTCTTGTTGTTGCTCAATATGCTGTAATAAATCGTTTTCACTTGACTATTTGCTCAATGGTAACTAAGAGAAAAACTAGGCAAGCAACTATAAATATTGACTGAATATTCAAATTTCATTAATTTATGCAAATATTTACTGATTACCATGGCAGCCATAATTGAAAACCTAAATAATTGTTCACATAACAGTACCAGGGAAGTATTCAAAATTAAAGAAACAGTCATTTGAAAGTTCTATTGAAGATTTTTAATTATGATGGATTTGGGGGCCAAAAAAGGCCCAAACCATACATAGTCCTTTCACGTTCTAAATTTTTATCAAAAATAACGAAAATTAGGACCCCGTTAATAACCCACTTCATGGTACATGTAGTAAAAAAAAAATGGTAAAGTTCTTTAAAATAATTGATAATGCTGGTGCAAAATAAACAGGAACAACATTAGGCAAGAACATTAAACACGCAGGAAGCAATAACCTAGCCAACTTCATTCGGACCAAATAAAAAAAATAAAAAAATGTGTTTCCGCTAACCCTACCTACCCTAGATTTTTGTTCCTATCCTCAAGTTTTTATTGGCATTTAGTGAAATGCACTGTTAAATTCACTCCTGCTCTATATCAGTATAGTAATAAATATTTTCCAAAATAAAAAAAATTGCCTACCCTATTTTTTCTGAGGATGATAGTGGTGGAAACACAAGTGATATTTTTTTGGGGGCCTCATCAGTTGGATGCGAAAATAGTAGAAAAGTAGAAAATTTCATATGATAAAATATTGGCACTTAACTTTTCTAACTACTGGAAGTACACAGTATTGTAATTCATTTCTTATTTTGGATTTCAGAGCAGTATTAAGGACAAACTACAGGATGTGGAACATTTTATAGCAGCACAAATGATTGGCCTGGAAATAGCAGCCAATCTGTGCTGCATAGAAGGTATGGATTGATAAAACGTAGAATTGATGTTCACATTGAGCTATTTCTGTACTGTTAGCAGGTATACAGCTGATGATAAATAGAATCTATCACTCTTGTGTGATGTAGTCGGAGAAAAGACAACCAGAGGGTTAGGTTTCGAAGTTTAGCACAAGGCTTTTCTAAGTGCTAAACTTTAAAATTCTTGTTCGGAGGGTTGAGATTACTCGGTCTGCATGATCAGACAGGAGTGATTGATACTGTAAAAATGTGTTGTAATGGTAAGCCTAGTACATAACATCATCATCAAGATCACTGAATTGTGTGACAAAGTTGATGATGCTTCCCTGGTTATGCTGCACTTTGATGTGACGCAATGGTGACAGTTTCAGAATAACAGTGTGGATGAGCTTTTCTGTCTTTAATTTCCTACGTAGGTAAAGACAGGTTTTTCTCCCAACCTTCACAGGTGTGTCTCCCGTTTTAGCCGGGAAAGATGAGCTTGTCACCCCTAGGGGGAGATAGCCTCGTGCCGATTAGCAGGTGTTCAATTGTGACGTCATTAAAATGCGTCATCGGTAACATTGTGACGTCATCAAAAGTGAATGACGACATGCATACCCCACATTTGTTTTTGTTTACAAACATGGCAGACTACTGTCGATAGAGCTGTGACTGAAATTATAGGATGGGAGAAAAAAAATCCTCCCCTACCTTGAGGGTATAACAGAGAAATCTCCAACCCTCAGGGTTGGAGATTTCTCTATCACACCCTTAAGGAGGGGAAGATTCTATTAATCTTTTTCTCAGCATAATCAGGGCCACTTTTGTTTATCGTGATCTAAACGGTTGGAATGGTTGGACCAGAGTTTTTCACTTCTGGAATAAGGTTGGACCTGTAATCTGATGCTGCTTTCAGGCGAGCCTTGACAAAGCATTGCAAGGCCTGCATAAACATTTGCAGGTCTGCCAGGATTTATACCAGAAAAAGTTACATTTATAAACAGACTAACCAGTTGTTCCGCATAAAACGAAAAAGCCCCAGAAAAAATGCATGTATAAAGTGTGGGAGAATTTTGAGTCTCTTCACAGAATCCATAGAAATCAATGAAGAACATCATTTCGCTTGTACTAGCCCACAATCTTCTAAGTGTAGCTCAGCTTCCAAAACAACCAGCAAATGTATACTTTCCAGTAATCCTGAAAAAATGGCATAAAAATTTAAATGAAGTGTATATTTCAGGCAAGCTACTGTTTATTGCTCATTAAATGAAGCCTATAACTCATATTCATCGATTAAACTTTGCCTGATAAATAAAAATGGAAGACATATTTGATGGGGAACTGGACAAAATGATTTTTATTTGATTGGTTGTTCTTGGCAATATTATATAACATAGAATCCATGTAGAAAAGATATGTATATCAAGAACGGAACCCTGTGATTTTGAAGATGGATAGCAACATGTTCCATTTACAAAGACTGATTATGCTTGAACTTTGACCTTACATGAATTTGACCTTTGAACTGACCTTTACAGATACCTGGGAGGACATGGATAGCAGTGAGTCTGACGACCAGATCGCCGAGGCTGACTTGGAGGAGGAGACCATGGACGATAACTTGTTTGTGAGTATCCCGAGTTATCTCCCCTAGATGGAGATATTACGTTCTTGTATGGTCATTGAATCAAGAAAATTTCATTTCTAAAATGTATTCTTGAGTTTTGAAACATCCATATATCTTCTCTTGAAATATCAAATTGTGCAATTTTATTGGAGGTTATATTTTATTGAAAGAGTTATCTCCCTTGCTATGTGAAACCAAAAAAAATTGTGATTTGGAGATAATTTTTTTCATAGATCTTATTGTTTCAAAAGGAAAAATAATGAAGTGATGCATTAATAGTGAAAAGTAGTGTTCTATTTCTTGAGTAACATAAATATACTGTTGTGTATATTTGTGAAAAGGTTCACAGAAATCTAACAAACTGCTGGTGAGACATTGATATGTAAATTTCACTTATAGTGTGAATTAAGTGAATGTGTTTTTTTGTATAGTAAATGTTCACAGGTTAAGTCGTCTAACAAACTCATTTTCACAACATGTCATGTTGTTTTTTCTTTTCAGTCCCCTTTATGTGTTTCATCTGAAATTCAAGGTGCAATATTAAGCAACGAGATATTTAGCAAGGTAAGTAACTTTACAGCTTGTGGACACACATTGACATTGACTCATGCTGTCTGTGAGGTCTGGCGAATGTTAAAGTTTTGAACTGCTTCCAGATTTGAACTATTACCATTTGACTTTCGTAGTCAGTAATGATGCAACTTGAAAAATACAAGTTCCATAACTCACAATATTCTATGATGTACTTCAAAACTGACAGGTTGAATAACTAAGGTCCCAAAAGTGATCTTAAATGCCAAAGGAGAGCAGTTCATTGAATCACATCTACTACTTGGTCGTGTGGCATTCATAGCTAACATGATTGCCAAATGATAATGCTGTCATCATATCCATGCAATGAGTCGTTAAGGGTATTAAGGGATCTAGCCATATGTATGTATGTTTACTAATTTTCATTTCAAAATGTTTAATTGAATCAGTCAGATTTAAAGGGAATTGGGCAACAAGTAAAGCCTATACAAGCCCTCCCCTTAAGACTTGTTTGCCTACTCAATGATGTCATCATTCTACAGACTTCATTTCTTTTCTTATTGTTCATGAAGCTATTTATAAATTTTCATGAACATCACCCCTTGTATGAGATTACTTTACAACCTGTCCCTGCAGGTAGGGCATAAGAATTGTACCAGCTGCTCCCATTGCATGATCGTAAGAGGTGTATATATTTGGGATCTTGTCTTTTCTCTTCTTTCTAAACAACTTTCTTCTTCCTAATGTCTCCCTTGACAATGCCTCATTTTGGCCTTTAGTTGAACAGTCACCCCTGTTAGGAAGGCTTTGGGTTCTGTCCCCTGGCTGAGACATACCAGAGTCTGTAAAAATGGTAGTTTCTACTCCTGCTTAACGCTCAGCAATTTAGGAGTGGGACGACTGGTTCGCCCGTTGTCAGTATAATGTGACCAGGTGGGGTGTCCTGCTGGATGTCTTCGGCAGTATGTTGCCGTGAGGTAGCACTATAAAGTCGGCATCAGTTCAGCGTTATCACAAGGAGACAAACATGAACATATCGCAGCCTCCCAAAACACACACGCATACACTACATGCATGCATCCTGCACACAGGGGAGGCTGTCCTTAAATGACCATAGCTGTTGATAGGACGTTAAACAATACCAAACCAAAACTTCACAACCTTCTGAGGTCAAAAACAAGGTCATTAATACAGAAAATAGAATTTTTGCTGTCCTTGCTCTACAGTTTTCATTTTTTTATCCAATTGCTGTGAAATTGAAACTAGATATTCATTTACATCTCTTGTGTGAGTTTGCATTTCAACTTTGTAAAGATCACCATTACTAAATTAAACAAAATAACGGATGTCATTGACACAAAGGTAGATTTATTCACGTAGCTATTCGAATCACTTCCTTTTGCGAGGGTGTTAGTATTGTCTCTAGATGTCATTTTACATCAATGACATTGCAATGTTGCAATAAATATCATGTGTATGTATGGTGTGTTGTTTATTTAACTCATTCACTATTCAGACAATTATAGATGGGAATGAAGGTGGAGGAATTAGTTCACATCACTTTTATACATTTAAAGACATTGGGTTTTTGTTTTTTGAAGGTGCTGAAGAAGGCCCAGCCTTGTATTTTACCAGGCGACGGTATCAGTTTGAGTGATCAGCAGAAAAACTTAGTTAAAAGGTAAAGCTCCCATCACATAACAAGTTGACAAGACAGCCTTAAAGTGAACTGCATATCCATGTGATTGGTTTGTTATACTTTAGAATCATTTATTTTCGTGGGTTTAAAATTTTGTGGTTTTCATATACTAGCCTGTTTCAAGGACATTATATTACGCTGATTTCTGATTTTACATACCAAATTTATGTTTTTGTGGGGATTTAATTTCTTGGATTTTTATTATCCACAAAATAAACGAAATTTAATGTCCCACAAAAATTCATGATTTTACAGTACTTATTTTACTTGTACCATATTGAAAAATATGTTAACCAGTAATATTAATTCAGTATTCATCGAAAAGTGATTTCGTGAAACATTTATAAAACACACCATAGTATTAGAAACTAATGGCGAACTGATACGATTGACAGGTTTGAGAAGCTGGAGGTGCATGCCCTTCTGTGCATAAATAACCTGGTCAGTTCCATGGAGCTTGAAGCCTTAGGCGGCCTGGACAATCTTCACAGTGTGTGGCAGGGTCTTGTTCAACTGACCGCCACCAAGCACAGTGAGTACTGACCTGACCAAAACAGAAAACATCCTAGTTCAGGTGTCTTACGAAACCAAAGCCTGGGCCCATATTCATGAAACCTTTCCCATGCTCAAGCATACATTTTGTGCTCAAGCCTAATTTCTTGTTCTGGCTTTAAATTAATAATAAAAAAATAAAAATTGTCAAGGATTTGGAAATATTTTGAAGAGATTTCAAGCAGAATACTGTTTTCAATGTTTACATTTGACTTTTTAATCGTTGCACATGATTGAGGCGAGTACCAAGATAGTTAGTTTGAGCACAGAATCCTTGCTTGAGCATGAAAACAGGCTCTGGAGTTCAAACTGTCAAAAAAGCTGTAAATTTAAGAAAGTTTGATGAAGTTGACGACTTTTAAATGTTTTAATGACATTGATGGTTTTCATTTTGACCTTTACTCAGTGTTCAGCAGTATTATACAGTTATTGACTCTGTGTTGGTATGACATGAGAATTTGTTTACCCAAGACAAGTTATATCACCTGCTGGCTTGTACCAGGATTCATATAACCTGTCAATGTTATTCACATTGATATTGGAAAATGGCTGTTTCTTGGACTGATTAAAGTAATTTTTTATGACATTTACAGAAATTTTAATCTGTAACAGTGATGAAACTCTCCTTAAATATTTGTTTAAAAATATCAAATGAAATGTGTAAGAAATATGTACCATTGAGCAACCTTAAAAATAAAATAAAATTTTGATGCGAGACAGCAAGATACCAGTGATCTGTTGCTACTTACAAAAGCCTACAAATGAAATTCAAATTGAATAGAAAGTGAAAGTAGGGCAGATAATTTTTGATGTGTAGCTTTTTGTGACGAAATTCCAATTTTTACTATTGTTTCGTATCCTGTGTTGAATATGTTCTACACTACTCAGAATGCAATACCTTAAAAGGAAATATTAAAATATACAAGTATAGACTTTGCTGAGGTTTATACCTGGATTTATTAACCAATCCCAAAGTAAAGTATTGACCGAAGACGCAGAATAAAATATTTGACAAGAAATTATACTGAGTTAATATATAATACTAATATTTGCAGTAGTCATACACAACGGAAACGTTTGTTCCTGTTAACTCTTAGTGCCGTTTGATCTATTCGTATAACCTGTAACTTGTAGACGGAGATCGTAGTGATCTGTTGGAAGCTGTAACCAGTGCTATGCGAGCTGTTGTACAGAAGCTGGCTGAACATGAGTCACCAAAGGTACGATACTCGATCTTAGTGTTGATATATATTACAAGAAAGTGTAAACGATTCATTACAAGTTCCCTTATTCTGATTCATTATTCAGAATAAGCTATTTTGCTATATTTGCGGTCACCAAATATAGTGTTAAATCAAATAACCAATGAATATTAGTACTTTGAATAAAAATCTCTGTGAATATATATATAGAGAGATAAAGAAAAAATTCTGTTCACCCCTTAACTGTCAAATAATGAAGACAAAACAACTCAACGTTGCTTTTTACTTTATTTTCATTAATCACCAATAAAATAAATCCCATTGCCCAAAGTACAAATTTAAAATTAAACAACTGTACAATGTTTTTGTCATTAGTTGAATCAAATAACCTTCACAGCAGGAACTCACCCTCAGGTTCTGCCATGTCTGATAGAAGTCTGTTGAGGTGACAGGTAACATAAACCTTTGTAAAGCCGTTACTCTAATTCTGCTGTTCTTTTCATTAGCTGCTAGAGGTGACCGGTCAAGACCTACAGTTTCTGTATGAGATGGGACAACACGGTAACAGTTCAGATATACGGGTCAATGCTGTGAGGATCGTGGCCACATTCGGCGCCCACTTTGCCAAAAACAAGGAACCACACCCCATGCTATTGGTATGTCACTTTTGTGATACAGGTGTACACGTTGAGAATTTAAAGACCCTTGTACAACTGCCAAAAGCCGTAACTGTCGATGGGAAACTTTTTGTGGCATGACAACAGATTTTGTTGTAATAGTTTGAAAAGCCCCTGAAATTTCATAATGAACCATTGCAACTATTGAATTTGAAGAGTTCAAATGTGTGTTCAGGGTTGAATGAGTTAAAATAAGTAAATGTCAACATTTAAAAATTGTGAACTTTTACAATAAGAAGATCCTTGTCATGTTTGTGTTAGTGGTTTCAAGAGGAAGAGCTGCAGTTATGGCTGAAGCCTTGCATCAATCTCCTGATATATTAACACTTTCACCCCTATGTTACTATAGTAGACTCTACCATGCATTGATATGGTAAGTCCATTGCGGTTTACAGTGCTGAAAGGGTTAAGAGCCGATTTTTGTTGATGTATTACATATATAGATTATAAACTGTGCACTGTTTCACCAGAACCTGGGTGTCTTCCTGCTCGAGGTGGCCTGTCACGAGGGAGAACTGTGGGTCGTAGCCGAGGCCCTGGACTCCATCTTTGATGTGTTTGGAGAAGACCACCTCAACAACATCCTGTCCGAGATCCGACTCCTGGACAGACTGCGACAGCTCCTTCCTATGCTCAAAGCAAAGGTAGATAACTCCTCTGATGTCTTCAAAAAGAATTTTAGAGGATATAGCTGTCATGCAGGGTGTCTGTAATTTTGTCCATCTGTCCATAGTTCTTGTCTGAATAATAATTTGAGAACGATTGATCATTCAAAGTTCAATCTTGGTGTGCGGGTTGCCATAGTGGAAGTGAAAAACCCTATTGATTTTGGACATGGTCTGCCAGAGGTTTAAGGTCACCATTGCTAGAAATAAAATTTTGCTTGTCAAGGTGATAACTTAAAAACAAATGATCATGCAAAGTTTAAATTTGGTGTGCTGTTTACCTTATGGATGCAAAGAACACTGTTGATTTTGGTTATGATCTGTCAGTTTTCGAGAATTGAGAATCTTTTGAAGTAGATTATAATAAAGCAAGCCACCATAAAAATCAAAATTCTTGAATATTTTTGCATGTATGACCTAAAGTTTGGGTTACAAATATTTTGAAGATATCAAAACACTTAAATTAATCTCTAGTTTTAAAGCACTTCCTTCAGTGATGGGTTTCATTTGAGGGTTTTTCTGATCAAGTGCTCTGGGCAAGAGACTGCTTGCAATTGTTAACTAGATTAAATTCATTTAGAAATATTTTGTTCCACTTGAGTGGAGTTTTGCATGTAATTTTCTCTTAAAGATATCATTATGTGGCTGTTTCTTTATTTTTTAACAGATGAAAGCAAACAGGAAAGATCTAGGAGAGCATCTTCCTGTGATTTCTACTGCCAAGACTAACCTTGTACGCTTCATCAAATACAAGTCTTCTGTATAATGTCATCCAATATAGTCTTTTGTGTGACGTCATCAAGAACAAATCGTCTGTGTGATGTCATCATTACAAGTCTTCTGTGTGACGTCATCAAGTAAAAAACTTCTGTGAGATGTCATCAAGTACAAGTCTTCTCTGTGTGACGTCATCAAGTAAAAAAACTTCTGTGTGACGTCATCAAGTACAAGTCCTATGTGTAACATCATCAAGGACACATCGTGAAATGTCATTAAAAAGTATGACATCATGCAAAAGATGTATGATGTCATCAAGTACAAATCTTCTCGGAGGGGTCAGCCATGTTGGCTTTTGTTGTCAGATTGTTGATGGATGCTAAACCTATAATGGACTTTGATATTGGTGCTGACGATTTGAAATGAATTTGACATTGATTATAAATTCAACAATTTGACGAAAAACTTTCTATTGTGAAGGTTGTAATGAGGATCTAGATGGTCTTTGACATATAGTATGGAGACCTTTCCAGTGCTCCAGTCAAGGAATTTGTTTCAGACTCGAAAACCATTTTGGTTTCAGCAGTTTTTCTCGTGTTTTATTTTTTCGTTTTCCCCCAATTTACTTTTACATAATGATGTATCAGTTGTAATAAACCTGCTGAAGTGTTGCTTAAGTTTACCATATTTCTTTTTATAGCTCATTCACCCCCAAAATTTCATAATGGAGTATTCCAACCTTTGAATTGGAAGAGATCAAATGTGTCTTCAGGGGTGAATTAGTTAGATTTGGGGAAAAAAAAAGAAAAAAAAGGAGAACTTATTTGAAAACATGAGTAGTGGTAATATGTTGGAATAAACATTAAAAATTTGTGATCTCAGTATTGTGTGTCTCTTCAGTCTTGAGAGCAATAGGGAAGTTTGGACATGAAATCTAGCCATCTTCTCTTTATATGTTAAATTAGCTTCTCTATAAACCTTGAAAACTGTTACTATGTCATTGAAACACTTAATAACTAGTTACTTAATATAAAATAATTTTCATGCTTTTCCGAAAATAAATAAATACATGGTTTATGAATCGTAATGGATCATGTACGGAATGTTTCAATATTCTGAATATTAATTTTTTTTGGAGGAAGATTTTTTTTTTTTTTGTATCAGTTTCATGTGTAGATATTTTTAGTTTGCGATATTTTGTTACGTTAAAGATAAATTCAGTTTGAATGCAAAATCCTGTTAAAGAATGAAGATATTTTGAATATATTAGATATTTTATAATCAATAAAATGTTTTCAATTCAAATCATACTTTTCTTATTATTTTGTGTACCGTAATATTTTCACTTCTACATTTCACAAACATATACTGATTTTATTGGTATCTTAATTTAGTGGTTTTTGTGTCTGCTCTAAAGTGCTAAAGACACAATGCTAAAAGATGGAGAGGGATCAATATTTCAGTTAAAATCTTTTGCAAATATTAATTTCATAGATGATTGCTATCAATATTCACTTGAAGATACCATCCTCTCAATTGCAAATTAATTTATTCTTGTATTAACCTATCGGGCATTGCTGATGATATTTATTACAAACGACCGCGACAAAGTGATTTACCATAGGTGTTAGTTATTTCACACGCTGATCAGACGTTTCCTGAAGTAGTTAGTATAATGCAGCTATAAAGTTTGGATGGGCAAAAATATTGCAACATTTGTCTAGAAATTCATAAATTGCAATATGATTTTGAAATGGCAATATATCAATATTTGTTCATCTAGTTGTTGGGAATCTTCACTAGCCAAGGGTTACGGTCCGGTAAGATCTACCTACTCTTCGGTAGATCGTATAGGATCTTAACCCTTGGCTAGCGAAGATTATTGTTGGGGTAATAAAATAATTTAAAAAAAAAATAAAGTTATCAAAATTAAATTTGCTTGGTATGCAAGATATAAACTTATGTTCAACCTATCACTGAAACTTGCAGAGCTGGTGCTCACTTTTCACATACCAAATATGAAATACTATACAAAATTATTATAAAATTTTATGTTCTTAATTTCTAGGAATACAATATACAAGAATTTATTATCATTTTGACGGCATGTATGTTAGTATGGACACAGTTGGCAACAACCATATTCTATGGTGGGCATATATGCTAATTTATAGCAGTCAGAGTTTGCTGAGCTGAAGAAGGGAGAGATGTAAATATATTGTGATATATGGAGATATTCCCTTAATATTGCAATAAATTGCAATATGAATATTGCTTGCAATACCCACCCTTAATATATACTGAGCAATATAATGCAAACAAATCTGTTTGAGACTAAGTAATAAAGGGTCAGACCTAGAATGATAATATTGACAACACATTTTTTGAGCTGAACAAACATCAGCTAATTACAAGGTCACATCTTGTTGCTTTTTTAAATCATGCAGCTGTCTACCAAAGAAATGGTCCTGAAATGATGTGATTGCTGATATATGTTGTGTTTAGATCTATGAACTATGGGGGCCACGGAGGCCAAGTGGTTAAGGCGTCTGACATTTTGCTACCACTAGCCACTTTCTGACAGTCTGCTACCACTGGGTCGCGGGTTAGAGACCTACGTGGGGCAGTCGCCAGGTACTGACCGTTGGTCGGTGGCTTTCCTCCACCATCAAAACCTGGCACGTCCTTAAATGACCATAGCCGTTAATAAGACGTAAAACACAAACAAACCAAACCAAACTACGCACTAAATATCTGTTATGCTGATGAATATGTTTACAGCATTTAAGTCTCATACCACTACTTAAGCCATTGACCACTCGATGACCTTGGAGTGTTTTTACTTTATTACCAGTGTTTATTGGCCTAGGGTGGGGAGAGGGAGCTGTTAGAATTTCCTAATTGAAGGAAAATGTGGTTTTAATCCGAAACATGAATGACTTTTGAATTACGTTCACAAATCTTCCTGAACTACTGCTAGATCCAATTCTGGGAGCTTAAGAAAAATAAGAATTAGAAGAGAATAAATATATACAACGTTTGATATAGCGACCTATCTAGCTAGAATAAGCCACTCTAAAGCGCCTTACAATACCTAGATATACAATTTATACAATCAATTCAATTAATATATACATTGAATAATACATAAAACAGTATAATTTCGAGGAATTTGCAGTAGCTGCCTTATCAGGCGCTTATTACTAGTCCTATCACTAGGGAATAGTTTTGGGGAAGTTTCCTCGCAAAGGGGGTAGAAATTACCCTATTTTCGATGAAACTTCCCCATTCCCGGTAGGACTTCCCTATTCCGGTAGGATTTCCCCATTCCNGGAAAGGGGAAGTTTCAGCGGAAAGGGGAAGTTTCAGCAGAAAAGGGAAGTTTCAGCGGAAAGGGGAAGTTTCAGCAGAAAGGGGAAGTTTCAGCGGACCAAGGGGAAATTTCACAGAAAAGGGGAAGTCCTACCGGGAATGGGGAAATAAAACTTTTTTGGGGAAGTTTCATCGAAAATGGGGAAGTTTCATCGAAAATGGGGAAGTTTCATCGAAAATAGGGTAATTACTACCCCCTTTGCGAGGAAACTTCCCTAAAACTATTCCCTAGTGTATGTCACCTGGCTAGTATCTCCCTGTGTGTGTATGTCTGTGTGCTGGAGATGTATTGTATTCTATTTGTAGCGGGATCGTGCTTCAGCACAGATACCGTAACACCCACTCCAGACAATTTTAAATTTAAACAACAACCTGGGTTGTTGGTCGAGTGGTCAGGAGAAAAACACTCTGAATATTCGTGCCAACACCGACTTCATGGATCGAAACGCGGCCGCCTGCATGGAAGGCCAGAGTGGTATCCACCCATATATAAAATTATGTATGTGAAATCAACAAAGTTTAGTTAAGGTGATAAATAGATGTATTTTATAACAAAAAGAATTGTAGGCACAAACTATTTCTTTGTTTGATTTCAGTAGTTAAAATCACTATCCTCTTCTATAACAATTTTCCAAAAGAATCGTTTAAACTCTTTCTGGAAAAAAGCGATAAGTGGTTAAACTAAAATGTTCATAATGAGCAATTTTCTTTACATACATTTGTTTGATTTTGGTACTGGACCCTCTGCAGACGGCTAGTTAGTGTAATACATACCAAAGAGAAAGGCATTACCAGAATCGAAAAAATTGAGATAACGAGTGATTACATTGAAGTCTAGCATGCATATGTAATGATGAACAATCGAAAACATCCAATGTTCCTAATGTGGGAGCAACAGCATTAAATTAAGTTGCCCATAGGAGTTTTTGTACTACTGGGTCTTCCTAAATAATTCCGACTCCTTCTTTAAGTTGAAGAGCCTAAATTTATGTCGGCTGATGTTGGAGAGAAAATACAACGATCTTTGTCTTTTCCTGATTCAGCTTGTTCATGTCGGCGTTCATCTAATTACAATTTAATTGACAAGATTCCAGATTTTCTAAAATGGCGTCCCAGCTGTCCAGTATATTGCTAACCTCGTCTATCTGTGTGTGGTCGGCGTAAAAAAAATAGTGAAATGTAGGCGAGAAAGAGGCTTTCCCGACTCACTGAAACGCAAATGAAAATAAATGAAAACGAAAGTGTAAACGAAATTGATATCGAGCTCAAAACTGGTGAATCTAGGCAAAAATGTGAACCAATGGAAATATTACCACGGTGTCACGGAAGGACAAGCGTCTTCTGTTTAAAGAAACATTTCAATGACTTTTTGAAATTTGATGAAGAATGGAGACCTCAATGGTTCATTGAAGTTTATGCGAGAAAAAACACGTATTCAAATTCAAAGGAGAAAGAAGACATCCTTACCTGAAGGGAGATCGAGGGGAAAAAGGCCTCATTGACTCGTTGCGATTCAGAGGAGAGAGAAGGCATCCTTGACTCAATGCAATTCAGATGAGAACGAAGACATCCTTGACTCAATGCAATTCAGATGAGAACGAAGACATCCTTGACTCATTGCGATTCAGAGGATAGAGAAATCATCCTTGACTTAAAGTAGATCGAGGAATTTCCCAATAGCTCAGTGGTCACAGAGCGTCCGACTAGAAACATATAGAGATCATGTCTTCGATTCCCCGGTGGAAGCACACTACTCTCTTTCCTGTTACACCTTAATGCATTCAGCGGAGGAAAGAAGACATACTAGATCAGCTGTAAAGTAGCCAAGTAGGAACTAATTTACTCGGGGAAGAATGAAAGCCTTCTTTACACATTGCAAAAGTAGGAAAGACAGAGATACCTCATTGATTTATTTTACTGTCTGAAAAATGATACCAATAGATCAATAGATTGCAGGTGAAAAGAGGAGTTTTGCTTTCTTAAAAAAATGAAGGAGATACAGACGAAACTCGACTTCCTTAAGGTTTTTGCCAGAATGCTACTTAATGACTAGAAAGATACCGTAATACACACGCATATGTGATTGTACCTTAAAAATTGGGTATAGATACATTATGCCGAAAATGAATTACACTGCATCACATTGCTGTTTCGTCCTTCTAGGTCTCATCGGTGATTATATAAAGTGTGTATAGGGGCCAACAAGTTGGAAAATCAAATAGTCTAAATTACTTTTGAAACAGACGAACATGTGCATAAATACCATGTGAAATTGAAATTTAGGCGAGACAGAAGACCTCTCATGGTGGGAAACAACTGATTGACTCATTAAAATGTGGATGAGGATAGCTTCTGTGACCTTATGAAACATAACTAGAAAATTAGTTTTTTATTTCACTGAAAAAAGAAATCGATGAAATGTCATTGATGTATTGGGTAGCAGAGAATACTTTTGTTTATTTAAGTGCAAGGTGGGATAGGACTTCATATAGGCTCCACATGGCTTTACATTGAAATACGGATGTAATTCTGAGGACGAGTTGGCAGATGAAACTGATGCTGAGGAGAATTAATAAAAAAAAACCCAAACCTTCCGGAATCCGCCACCCGTCATACCGTTTTTTGCTTATCCTACTCGAGTGTCAATAGCCACTCCGTTAATACAAATAGCCTGCAACTGTTGAATACGATGACATGTAGGCCTACTTCATATTTGAATTAACTAATTCTTTAGGTACCTAGCTATCGTATACTTTTTTACTATTTCTCCAACAAACTGTTTGACAATTTAATTTATTCAGAAGGACAATAATTGAAATGTTTAGAAAACTGAAGTAAATTAGTTTGATATTATTTAATTGTAAGTGAATTCAATAATATTTTTTTAAAGAAAAGTGA